CCCCAAAACCCCAAAACCCCAAAACCCCAAAACCCCATTTAGCTAGGCTAAGATTGTAAAATTTTATATGGTTATGAAGTCAATATGGATAGTACTATTGGGGCTGGGATTTCTGCAGGTGGCTGTCAGTGGGATTAGAGGTAAAAGGGGGATTTTGAGTAGAGGGAGTTAGAGGGAGGGGGGTTTTGGGTTGTGAAGGGATTTTTAGGAGTTTTGGTATAGATCAGAGAGGGAAAGAGGGGGAAGGAATATCTTCTTCAGAGTGAAGAGCTTGTATTGAGAGGGAAGATCGGATTTGGTGTGTAAAGAAGGGGAATTTTAGGGATGGAAAGTGATGTTCAGAGAAGAGTGGCTTGTCTGGCTGTGATACTTCACAAAATAACTTGTGCTCTAATTCGAATGGAATAGAGGATTATGTATTACAGGATCATACATATAAAGCTGGTTATGCTCTCTGACCCCAAAAAGTGCAGGATTGAGGAAGCTTGACATACAAGATTAGCTTATTAAATGAGACTTCAATAATGTCAAAATCTCTACTAACACATGATGTTGTATGAAGCATAAAAATTGAGACTCCAATCCTAAATGTTGATCAAATAGAGTTATCCTTGAGTATGTTTCTAAAATAAACTTGTCTCACAAATTAATAGAAGAATTAGAGAACATCAATGCCACAATTGTATCTCATACTAGTGCATACAACTATAAGTCAAATGGCCCAATCAGTGAAGGAGAGACTAAGCAATACAAATTCAACAGCTCAATGTTCATTTATGTCGTACTCGTCCCAATCTCTGGAAGAAACTCAATTAAGCTCCAAATGTCATTAAAATCTATTCCCGAAGGTAAGCTTAGAAGAACTCCTTTTGGCTTCAAGAGCCATTCATATGAACTATAGAAGAGAAGTCTCTGCTTTCTCAAGCTAAGGAATTCGGGAATAGCAATGCAAGCATAATAAATTTGTGTCTCATAATCGTCATATTAGTAGTTATTGTCTTAGGAGGGATTTGCCTCCTTTTTAGATGTATTAGGAACAAATACCTTTTTAAATACAGAGATTTCACTGTTGACGAAATTCCTCTGCCAGATATGGTAGCTCAGGATCAACAGTTTGATACTGAGGTAGATGTTTCTTCACATAGGAAATCAATAGTTACCAGTAAGTCCCATACCTAACCTCTCTCCAGTCCCAAGCCCTCCTCCAACCCCCCAAAAATCCACCCCACTTCACCCCAGACCCTGCCCAACCCTCCCAAATAATCCAAGTTCTACCAACCCAGCATCCCCATTAAGCTCAGCCCTTAAAAATTTCAACTAAAAAACCCACTATCGGGGTTTTGGGGTTTTGGGGTTTTGGGG